CGATTCCTCAAAAGAGACACGAACATTAGAAAAATCGTCCATACCTTGCTAGGCGTGTCACGCGCTGGTGGCTGGCCTCTCTTGGGCGTCATCGGTCAGGTTGTCATCTATTATATTAATAGCACTAAGCGAAAGCTTATATGCACCGTTGCGGGTACCGGTAGCTGACACACCTTGCACATCCCGTGTTCACCGTCGCGTCCACTGCCGCGTTCATTGCCGCGTTCATTGCCGCGTATTGCTCCTCCATGCCTATGCTGCAGCTGCTTCTCGCCTCGCGCGCAAATTTGGATCTGCCCGCAATTTGTTGCGATACATCCGGAAAGGACAATTTTGGCCAATGGGGTCGCGTAATATGCTTCGCGTTTCGTGCATACCGTATACGCTATATCTCGAATCCTATCAGCTCATCATGTTAGCTCATAGTACCCCTGGTACGGTCATGGCTCGCGCTATGGCAGCTCTTTATGCGAGTTGGTGGATTCGTGCCGAGAGCTGTCGTGAGGTCCTCGAGAGCATCGTCGACAGTGAAGCGAACCGGCAACAAGTCGCTTTGCAGCCGGCAACTCCTTTTGTCCAAGATCGGTATAAGTTCTGATTTTAGTCAATAGGATTGGAGATGTGGCGTATCTACACGAAACGCGAAGATTATTGGTTAATCTAAAATCATCCTATCCGGATTTTCTTGTCAAACCATGGCAGTTCCAAATTTGCGGCCGAGGCAGTAGCAGAAACATCGAAGCGATGGACGCGATTAAGACGGGGTCAAGGACGGGACGATACCCTAAGTACGCCACTACCCACATGGATGCGTGTTCATGCTTCGCCCAAGATGACTACGTGGTCCATGTGGGTAGTGGTGTACTTTGGGCATCGTCCCGTCCTTGACCTCGTCCTTGACCTCATCCTTGACCTCGTCCTTGACTTCGATGTTTCTGCTGTACCAATGCCGACTGCATTCCAATGTGTACACAAAAATGGACCATTTTACTATGAGGTATTCTACATGGCATGAACTCGTCGGCTTACTATTGATCAAGGTGCTGGCTACCGATCCAGCCACCGCCAACCTCGCCTCCGTGTCCATTTACACCACTCCCACGTACGAGTCTCTCGTGCCTTCTGTTGCCGGGCTCTGGGCTGTGCGGGTCCATGACGAAGGCTGAGCAGTGCTAGTTTTTAAGACGGAGTCGGCTGCTTCCATGTCCGCGCGGTCGTTCTGTCGAAAGAACGACGTCGGCGTTCGCTGTTGTTATGGCTTCCGCGCGACGAGTTTGTCTTTTATCCAGGCATGGCAAAAGGATTGCCGAACCATGCTTTGGCGACAAAAGTTCTCGCCGCAGATCTTGGAGGAGGTCGCAGACGAGGATGCGTAAGAACGCACGGGGAATGTGATGGCTGAAACGCCATCGGGCGGTCGTGCCAAGTACAACGTTGCTATTTGCAACCCAGCTTGCGTGCGGATGGCTCGCGCGCATTCCACAACCATGTCCATATCCTGATGCTGCATCGTACAATCGCGCTGTCGGAGGCCAGTCCACACCTCCAATGCTCTTCGTTCCAGCGATAGAACCGGTGGAGGCCCATGTGCGGCTCTCTACGGGCCGCACACTGGTACCAGCATAGAGATAGTCCTCTCAAGCAATACATGTGGCGACAAGTAGTACCCGGTGAGAAACCGTGCCGTTGCCCCTGCGTCGCCACAGAGCTTTGCCACAGAGGACCCACGTTACATGCATCCGTTGCTGCGATCGACGGCATGAAAATCATATATCGCTATGTACGTCATGGAAGCCTGCAATGGAGCTACCGAGAGCGATCGATAGGTAGCGCTGTTACATATGTAGTAGTACGGATCCGTGTTGCACCGCTGTGGTCGACGGCGAGGCTTCCATACTGGGCAGCATCGAGCCACGGGCCATGGCATCGATGCGGCGATACTGCTTACTTGTTGCGTGTGCTCACCAGTAATATTCTCGTTGTTCAAAATGGAGCGTGCGCTGGGTATCTCAGCTAATCACACACACTACGTCCAAGGTGTACTAGCTTTGGGTATGGCCTGGATACCAAGTCCCGCTAGGATCGCCGCGGCATTACTGGTGATAGGCGAAGATCCACCGCTGCGGTCAGTGATTGGCGGCCAAAAGGTCGTTGCGTGGCAGCGTTGCAGGCTTCTCTACCGCACGGCATCCGACACTGCCAGACGTCACTGTATTTCAGCCAACTGGAGAACGCGCCTCATTTATGCCATCGCCTCGGTCTTCTTACCACAGCACCCGTCGAGTATACCGGCGCGCGGTTCCATCGTCCATGTAGAGCACTTGAATGCTCTTGAAACACGCAAGCTCGTTGGTCGCTCCTGATCCGTGCGTTTGGCGTACATTCAGCCCCAATAGAGGCGAGTCTGCCATCGAACCGATAGAGTGCGTGGCCGCACGAGGTGATAGAAACCCGTTGTGAAGCCGGCGAGGTCTGACCACAGCCTCCACATCGAGTCATTGACATCGAGTAACCGGTAAAAACGATATTTTTGAGCAACTGGTGTCGGTTCGCGCGGCTTTTACAGGCAGCGAGTGCACAAATAGCTCGTTTAATTCGCATACGGTGCACACCATGTGACGAACGGTAGTATGCAGCGCTCAGCGCACGCTGTGCTGGTGGTGGGAGTGCACGAGGCCTCTGCCAGGCCTTGATCACTTGATCTACTGTGCGTGCTCATTACCCAATCTTCTCGTGTCTCGTCGAGCCAAACCCAACTGTCGTAATGGTGTCTGTCAAAGCAATCTTTCTCGGTATCACCCTCCTCGCCATGGCTCGCGAGGCCCAAGCCCAAGACGGCACTGAGTCGATTGCTGTGTATGGATCGGATGACTTCGACTCGTACGCCTACGGCTACCCGACAGAGGCGCCTGAGACGCCTTCCCCTTCAACCCAACGACCAACGCGCACCCCGAAGCCGACGACGCCCAAGCCGACGCGCACCCCAAAGACCACGACGCCCAAGCCGACGCGCACCCCGAAGCCCACGACGCCCAAGTCGACGCCTTCCACGACAACGCCGTGCCCGAGCTCTACTACTAGCAAGCCGTTGACGACGGCTCCCACTGCTACTACTGTCGCGCCGAAGCCTGCTGCAACCACTGTGGCGCCGACTCCCGCAGCTACCACCGTCGCACCTACGCCGGCGGCCACCACCATCGCGCCGACGCCTGCTGCAACCACTGTCGCGCCGACTCCCGCTGCAACCACTGTCGCGCCGACGCCTGCTGCGACCACCGTCGCGCCGACTCCCGCTGCTACCACCGTCGCGCCGACGCCGGCCCCGACTACGCCGTGCCCGAGCTCTACTACTAGCAAGCCGTTCACGACGGCTCCCACTGCTACTACTGTCGCGCCCACGCCGGCGGCCACCACTGTCGCTCCTACACCGGCGGCCACCGGGCACGACCACCAAGGCGCCGACGACAACGACGCCCACATCAACAACTAAGACGCCGACGACGACGATGCCCACATCGACCACCAAGGCGCCGACGACGACACCGTGCACCACCACCAAGGCGCCGACGACGACGACGCCCGCTTCGACCACCAAGGCGCCGACGACGACGATGCCCACATCGACCACCAAAGCGCCGACGTCGACGACACCGTGCACCACCACCAAGGCGCCGACGACGCCGTGCCCTAGCACTACCTCGAAATCGCCTTCGACAACGACGCCATTGTCGACGACGCCGTACCCGACGACCTTGTCCCTGACAAAGACATCTTTGCCGACGCCGTGCAAAACTACTACAACCCCCTGCCCCACGAGTTTCAAGCCGGCCTCAACGTCCACAATCCCAAACACGTGGTCGCCCTCTGTCACTCCGTACAAAACCACTACAACCCCGTCGATGCGCCCTACGACGGCTCCGTGCAAGTAATTCATAATGTGCATTACATGGTATATTGTCTCAAATCATCGAGTTTCTTCCAAGATGAACATCGCAATGAGCTGTGTGGGCGCTGCAATCGACGCGAAATCGGCGCTTTGCGCCAATTCAGTTGGATCTGCCACCGCTTAGAGCACACTATGGAAGTATTCTCCAGGTACATGGACAAAAAGCTGGCCGGCCACAAACGCCATCTCATCGTCCGGGACCTCGATGGCTCGCCGTCGAACGTCGTCGACGACCTACATACGATTGTCGTAACTTGCTCTCTGCGAATCGTCGTACCTGCGTATCGTCGAGCGAGAGAACTCTTCGGTGCAAACCAACGAGACGTCGCGTAATGTCTTGTATCGCTTCCACTGTGTCGTCCTCGGCGGTCGCGTGGTCCTTGACCCACGCCCATGCGGCCGTCAAATACTCGATCGCCCGGTACGTGTCGTCGACAGCCGACGCGCACTCGCCGAGGAGCCGAAGCGACGCGACGACGTTGGTCGATGCTTCCACGCACAGCGCGGGAGCGCAGTCGTGTACGTCGGTTGCAGCGCCCGCGTCGACAAGAGCAGCTGCGCCGTCGCGAGGCAGCAGTCGGCACGGCTCGTCACCAAGGAGCTCAGCGCCGGCGTCTCGTCCAGGCGCAAGCACTCTTCGTAGAGACTCGGAGCTTCGTCGGGTGCTCCGACTTGATCGACGAGCCACGCCTGCGTGCGTTGCTCCTCGACGAATAGCGCGCTTTTGCGGCCAAACGTCTCCTTGAGAACGCCCAGGCAGGCGTCGCACCACACGTCGCGCGCGGCCATGTAGATGTCGACGAGGAAGACATGCGTCGGACCGAGATGCCACGATGCGATGGCCACGGCTCGCTCGACGAGGTGCCCGATGCGCTCGACGTCGCCTTTGGCATGTGCGAGCGTCCTCGCGACGGTGTGCGCTTTGGCGAGGTGCGCGTGCCAGCGCCGCAGTGGCAAACGAGTCAGCGTCGCCAAGGTGCGACGTCCGCGCCGAGAGCTCAGCGGCACACACAAGGAAGTGGCACCGCTGCACCCGGTTGTGGTCCGTCGGGTGGGCCTCCTCGAGCGCAAGTGCGAGTTTGACGTAGGCCACCGCGTCCGACAAGTGACCAGCACCGACGGCGTCGTCCGTGGACGCAATCAACCGTGTGCTTTCGGTCGTCGTCCGGAGAACCATCGACGTCGATGCGTCAAGCCCGACGATATGGTGTGCTCGGAACGGACCGGGGGCATCCCCGGCGCTCGCAATGCGTTGCAGTGCCACGTTGACACCGAGGTGTTTTCCCAGCGCAAAGAGCACCTGCGGCAAGTGCAGATCGTTGCGCGTCCGCGCCGTGTGCAAACCAAATTTGAGTCGCAGCGTTGGATGCAACTCATTGTCGAGAAAGGCGATGCGCCGCCACCGCAGACCAGATTGACGAGCGTCAAAATGACCGATCGTGATGCCGGTGCGCCGCGGAGCATGCCGCGAAGTAGCACCTTGGTCGTTCGCGCCACCATTTCAGTGAGAAGAAGTCGACGGATATGGCGTAGCGAGCTCGTATTGTACGCGTCGATCGAGCCGTGCCAGTGATTGTACAGGTTGTCATGTAAGGCCACTAGAACTGTCTCATACAGGCATAATATGCGTCGACAGAAGAAAGGATATCAAGTCGAGGAGCGCGCGCAGCTTGACGCTTTCACTCTTACCCATGCCTCGACCATCGACATAAAGGCTTCAAGGCATCGACGTCGGGTGCCTTGGCAAAGGCGGAGCGGGCGGCGGCACAGCGCTGGTCAGTGTGCGTCGTTGGCGCTGTCGATGGCGGGTGCATGCTAGCTTTGGAGAGCGCTGTCAATACGTTTCTCAAAAGTTTGCGTCGACGTACGTGGATGGCCGCGACCCATTCGACGAGGTCGCGCTCGGAAGCACAGCCAAACGTCCGCGACTTCTCCTATGCACCAGCATCACCGACCGCGGAATGTAGCGTCGACCAAGTGTACCGTGTGCTTGTCGACGAGCTGGAAGCAGTGCTTTCGCTGCGAGCGCTTCTGCCCTGACATATGAGAAGACGATGCACATTGCGCGATAGCCGTGTACCTCGATGGGCGCCAAGACCGCGACGAGCGTATGCGCGTGGAGCAAGAGCCTTGCTGCTGCAGAGGCCATGGAGTGAGAAGTCTCCGGCGTCGGCCACCTAGGCACATGACCCGTCGACCTCGTCGGGTACCAGCGCAGCGACCCACTTGTCGCGCCACTTGGTCGAGAACGTTGACCGAGCGCTACCTCCAACGTGAGCGCATGCTGCATGGTCGTCGGTCTACCTTGGAGAGCTTTCCCAACTTCATCGCGTCGTTTCGGAATGGACGATCTTCCAGCACCGGTGCGGTTGTACCCGTCAAACCGGTTAATGAATCCGGCTAGCCCAGGCCTGATAAATTTCGTCATTTCACGAAATTTAGCTAATTAATTTAGTCCTTTTCCATATCAAATCATCAAAATGACGAAATTTATCGGGCCTGGGCTAGCCAGCGCACAAGATTGCATTAGAATATTAATCGCTCTTAATTGGTCCACGCCCCTTCGAAGGATCGTAGGGTCGGTGTCATTTTAGCGCTTGCATTTCAATCTCGAGACCAGTTGTATCGACTTTTACACCTACAACAGGTCCCGTGCGGGGTGAGCTGGTAGGAACTTTTGAATCCGAAGCGTTGTTTCCCGGTATTTGCGACGACGGCGCGTTGGCCTAGACAAAAGTCAACGCGCGACCTTCGCTGCGCTGCGGTGCGCAGACTTTTCCGGGCCAACGCGCCGTCGTCGCTTGCTGCAGTCCTTGCGCGGTTTCACATTCGCACCTAATCGGAAAGTTGCGTAAATTTCAGTCAAGTGCGCTGTCGAACTTAATCCAAATTGTTTTACTTTAATCAAGTATAACGTCCGGCGATGTAACAGCACTTAACAGGAATCTCCCATTCGCACTTAACAGGACACATTTGGCGCAATATGATTGGCTGAGACCAATTAAACGCAGTTTCATTGGTTAAAATGGCTTTATATATAGCCAATGGGTTGGCCGGATTGAGACACGACACGCCGAATTAATCCCCTGGGATGCTGGTACACCACGTAAACGTTCCTACCAGGAATATTTGCAGCGTCTATTGCTACTGCGACACTCAAATATAGGCTTCGATACATCATGCGCCACCTCTAAATCTGGCTGCCGGCATGCAACTCGGTCGACAGTGCCAGTTTCATCTGGCTGCACCAATGCCGACTGCATTTCAATGTGTACACAAAAAGTGGTCCATTTTACTATGAGATATTGTACATGGCATGAACTCGTTGGCCTACTATTGATCAACGTGCTGGCAACCGATCCAGCCACCGCCAACCTCGCCTCCGTGTCCATTTACACCACTCCCACGTACGAGTCTCTCGTGGTGTCATTTTAGCGCTTGCATTTCAATCTCGAGACCAGTTGTATCGACTTTTACACCTACAATATTTGCAGCGTCTATTGCTACTGCGACACTCAAATATAGGCTTCGTCGTGGTGCGATTATTGCGTATGTCGCTGAGCAATTCCTTCAAGGGCGAATTGAGCCTGCCGTACGGGTTGACGGTGCTGGTCGTTGCGCGACCATCGGCTTGAATCATGTCTCGGTCTATCGATGTCTGGCGGTGGCGCCTCGCGGAGTGAAGCTCCCATTGTATCCAGATCTTTCAGAGCGAAAGATCTTGATGGGGATGGCGCCATGTGATGACGTTGTCGTCTCGATTGCATGGCAGCATCCGGATTCAATCCGCCAATCATCGATCACCTGGCATGCATCTCGGCCAATCACATGCGATTGGTGCCACTGATACCC